TCCCTAAAATCAATCAAAATTGCAGAAAAATTAAACACTTCCTATTTTATAATTCATAACAAAACTATAAAGTCAAAAATAAATTACAGAAGGAATGAGGAAAAATTGTTACCGTAAGAAGGATACAGAAGTAAACATGGATGGACAGTAACAGGACAGAAAAAAGAAACAATTTACAGAAGGAAATATTTTTAGGACGTTCATCTCGCCATCGCACCTAGGGTTTCTATATCTGAAACCCTAGTCTTTCCAAAACCGTCGCTGCTAACAGCTTCACCCTCATTCGGCCGCGCCTCCCTTCGATTCACAAGCACCACTGTAGCATTCCATACTCCTTACCGCGAATCTCGATCTGGACCTCTTCGCGATCTTCCTCCACTAATCTCTGAAACCCATTGTCGTTGTACCTGCAACACAGAAGAGAGATAAGAGAATCAAACGGAACCGCCCACGAACACATAAACACACGGCCGAAGGACGTAGCACCGGACCGGATAAACAGCGCCGCCGCTGTTATTGTGATTTAGGGATTTTTCTTTTGTTGTGGTTGAGAGAGATAGAAGAAAGGTAGTCGTCGGAGAAGAGAGAGGAGGGTCGGTGTTTCTGCCGCTGGTAAATAGGCTCTCTAGGGTTCTGTTGTAAGAGAGGATAAGAAAGGAAGAGAGCGAAGAGAGGAAAAAGGTAAAACAAAAGAATGAAAATTATGTAAAAATATAATGTTTTTTTTATATTTTAATATGATGCATGTCACATACAATTGTTATCATACTCCCTCGCTCATATCCGTTTGATCTCTATCGTACGTTCTAAAACGCATCCCCGCAATATTATCCTACAACCGCGCATATGCTGGCTAACAGACCCCCTCCCAAGCGTTTGGGCTTGGCCCATGCTATCCGCACCCGTTCTTTTATTTTTTTTAGTCATGCCATTAGAACACCCCCCCCGAATTTATTGGGCCCAGTCTAAAATCTGGAATGGGGTCCTATTATTTTACTCACCCCCTTTTACTCTGTCTTCCAAACCAGCGCACCCCCAACGCCTCCTGCAACAACCATTTGGGCCTTTGCCCATCAGCCCAACAGCCCTATTGCTTTACACACTCCCAATTTTACTATTTAACTCCAGAACACGCCCCTTGACCTTTTGGGTTTGAATTCAATATTTGAATTCAGGTCCTTTCTATTAGAACCTCCACCTTTTACTACCATACTATATTTTACGCCCCTGCATTTTTTTTATATTTTTGTTTATTTTATCATTTTAACTTTTTATATTTTCTAAATTTTATTATAATAATTATTATATGTTATACTTTTTATTTTAATAATTATTATATATGCATGTTTATTATATATTATACTTTTAATAGTTATTACATATGTTTTATTATATATTATACTTTCAATAATTATTATATATGTTTCTATTATATATTTAACATTTTTAAATATTATATTTACTATTTATTATTACTTAAATTCATTAAAACACTATTTTTGTTAATTGTACTAAAACTTATTTTTATGCATGCATTTAAATAGAGTTCTCTTTTAAATAATTAACATACTAAAAAATATAAATCAACCGCGAACTACGAAATGAGATTCTGATCATCCTAGGAGGATATGTAGGCATACGATCAAAAATTGTGGCGAGTTCTCCTAACTAAAATTAAAACCCTATTTCTTAAAATGCGCTTCTAAACCTAACATCCTTGTGAACAAGGTAGACGAGGGGTGCATAACACCTTCCCTTCATCTAGAACCGAGTCAACAACCTAGAATCTCTAACTTTTTAGGGTTATTCCTTTATATTCTTTTCCTTTAAGATAAAAATTAAGGGTGGCGACTCTGTATTTAAAACCAGTTGCAACAACGCAAAGTGAGAAAACAAATGTTTTGCTCTTCGTCGATGATGTCTCGCACAACTAAAACAACACATAGTCATTAAAAGTCGATACCCACATGATTATTAAACCTTAATCTATCTATAGAGTTAAAACCCAATAGGTGTTCATTCTAAATCCGAATCTAAGGAGTATATGTCTATAGCAACTCAAATCTAAATAAAGCAAGCAATCACCAAGAATGTTTTGTAAAGAAAGAATCATACAACATCATGAATAATCATTATACATACAAAACAAAGCATACTTACAAACAAACACCAACACTAGAGGGTTTCAAAGAGAAGAAAAGAGGAGAAAACCCAATCTTTTTCATTGTCAGACACAATCAATTAAGCTTCCGACCATGAATCATCCGATTACAAGCCACAAATTTTGTTTTCTAAGCTCTAACCTAAGAAAAATGAAGGTGATGACTTTGGGAACAAATACCCCAAAGCATAACCCTAAATATCCGTTTATAATTATATTTATACACTTTTAAAAATTCGCAGACTGGGCTAAGCGCCCTCAGAGCGCGCTTAGCACGCTCGCTACTGTTCTAAAAAAACCAGCTTTGTATTTTGGCCATAACTTTAAAATCGTAACTCCAATGTGCGCATGGTCGGAAGCGTTGGAAAGCTTATTCAATGATTTTTCTAACAATGACTAAATATAAAAAAAAATTATTATTTTTATCATATTTGTTTTGAGCCTTATTTGTTAATGAATTGCTTAAAATTGCGCGTTTGAAGCTGTGTCTTCGATAATTTGTTGGTCATGCTCCAAATACGCATCAATACCTACAAAATAAATAGAAAACTATCAAATGATACATTATGTACATGAAAATACAAATATATACAAACTAGACGTATTTACAAACAAAATGGGGATTTATTGCAAGAATATCAACAAAAGAATAAATAAGTGCCACCAAACTTATATACAAAATGATGACATTTTGGCACTTATCAACTCTCCTAAACTTAAAACATTGTTTGTCCTCAAATAAAGCCAAACAACCTAAAGAAACAACAACGACATCTAAGAAATCACGCAACAAGTTATGAAAACGAAAAACAAATGCAATGGTTCAAATAAAAAACATACAATTAAAGTAAACACTTACCACTAAACTATGACGATAGCATAATCACGAAACAAGAGTTAAGTACAAAAGTCATGCCAAACTTTCTAAAACAACGCAAGTTCAATCATGAATCACACCTAGCAAAAACAATCATCGGTATATGAAAAACTCATAAAATAAGGGATTTTTCACTCACACAACAATCTTGCAAACAAAAGACTAAATTATACAATCATCTAAAAACTCATATTAACAAAATAAAAGCAAGAATCAAAAGGGATTTTCGAGGTTGTAATGTGGTCGGGTAACCAACCAAGGGGAAATTTCTAAAGCTAATCGAAAAAAAAACTTGCCTAAATCTAAGGGAGTGATCAACTCACAAAGTTTCAAGCACAAAACTCCAATCAACTTTTTCCATATTCCCAAATTGTCAAATTAAAACAACATACTTATTTTCACAATTATTTGAACTCTTTTTATTTTTCTTTTTCAAAGCTTTATCATTTTTTTCTTTATTTTTCTTTTCTTTTTCAATTTTCAATTTTCTTTTCTTTTCTCAACCTCATAACAATCAACCAATAAGTGAATAATCATCCTTTCCCCAAATTGAATTCAACCACATCATCATGTGAATACTCCTTACTTTTTAAGGCAAGGTAAAAATTCATACAACAACACAAAGTTAGGGGTTCAAGAAAAAAAACAATCAAAATCCATACAAAAAGTGAATTTGATACTCATAGACAAGCATCAAGTTCAAACAACAAGGATAATGACCAAAGGCTCAAAGGGGTTACAAATGATCACACACTCACAAGGTGAATTAACTATTTGGATAAGGTAGTTGTGCTCATAATGAAACAAAAATGCCTTGATCCTTCTCATGTTTTCATATAATCAACACAAACAAAAGATTAAGCATAATAAAATCCAGTTAGAACAAGAATGTTGGTACTCCGCGCATATGATAAACAATGGAAAACTTCCTCACAATGGGGGGATCTAAAGTGATTCACATCATGAAAAAGTATACAAAAGAATGAATGAAATGGAAGTTGTAAAAAGCCTAAGTATCATGAATATGTTAAAGTCTAGAAAGAGATAAACACATACCTTGGACGTGTACAAAAATTTAAACACTATCATTACCATGCACTCGCAAGTTAAAACGTTCAAAAATGGACAAACACCTCATGCAACTTCAAATAACCGGAAAAAAATTGGAGTCCAAACAACAAACAAAAACATTAGAAATTACTACTAATATGTACTTTATAAATAACCAAGGTGAAAGTGGGAAAATGACTAAGTGAAACATAATTCCACTGGACAAACTCCAGACCACGCTTAGCCCGCAGACCCTCACTTAGCACGCTACACCAGAAAACTCACGCTTAGCACACACAGACCCGTGTTTAGAGCCCACAGGTCTGTGCAGAAAAATCATATTCGCGTTTTATTCTCCTTACTAATCCACCACTATCACCTACACATCTCAAATGCAAAAAAATGGACCGAAAAGGTCGAGTGAAAATGGATTAAACAAGTTGTAAAATGAAGATTTTAGAATTTTACGAACATTCCGAGTACAACTTGTTTAATGAATCTTCACCATAATACCTAATCTAGAATGAAAAAGTAATAACGAAATAAAAAAATGATAAAACATGCTTGTTTTACGTCGTAAGCTCAACGTCTTTACTGTGCTTAGCTAGTAACTTCCTCCCTTCATGCCATGGTGATTCCTCACCGCGCAAACCAAAAGCAAGTGTCTTAACCAAATACTTGAACAAACATTAAAACAAAACAAGTATATATTGACAAGTATAAATGTATCAAAACAAAACAAGAAAGTATGTATGAACAATATAAACATTATGTGCAAAACTTAAAAATAAAGAAATTATCGTAATGTGAAACAATAAAAACACTAATCCCCAACAACGACGTCATTTTGCTGAAGCGGCAAGCAAAAGTAAGTATTTTTATAGGTTATATCATATTGTCTCCACAAGGATTAGTGCCACTGAATTTCCGCTCGATAATTTCTCGCGTTAATGAGTTTGGTTTAAATTGGGTTTGAAGTGGTAAATGCGGGAATTAAAAGTTATGAACATCAAATAATTTCATTATTCGAAAAGGAGAAAACTCTCCGGATTGAATTTCTCATGCTCATTAAATACTTAAACTAATTACTCAGTCGCACTCAACCTTAGTCACTTGTCAAAATCAGAACGTACCACTCACACAGAGGTTATGTTTAACAGAAAGTGAGAAAACAACTGTTTTGCTTTTCGTCGATGATGTCTCGTGCAACTAAAACTACAAAGGCATTAAGAGTCGATACCCATATGATTATTAAGCTTTAATCTATCTCTAGAGTTAAAACGCAATAAGTGTTCATCCTAAATCCCAATCTAAGGAGTATATGTCTATATCAACTCAAATCCAAATAAAGCAAACAATCACCAAGAATGATTTGTAAAGAAAGAATCATAAAACACCATGAGTAATCAATATATATACAAAACAAAGCATACTTACAAACAAAACCCAACACTAGAGGGTTGAAAAGAGAAGAAAAGAGGAGAAAACCCAATCTTTCTCGGTGTCATACACAATTAATCAAGCTCCCGACCACGAATAATCTGATTACAAGCCACAATTTTTTAAGCTCTAACCTAAGAAAAATGAAGGTGATGAATTTGGGAAAAAATACCCCAAAGCATAACCCTAAATATCTGTTTCGAATTCTATTTACACACTTTTAAAAATCCGCAGACCAGGCTTAGCACCCTCAGAGCGCGCTTAGCACGCTCACAGCTATTCCGAAAAAATAAGCTTTGTATTTTGACCATAACTTGAGAATTATAACTCTGATTTGTACACGCTCAGAAGGTTGGAAATCTTATTCAATGATCTATCTAACAATGACTAAATATCAACCAAATTTATGAATTTTCTCTTATTTGTTTTGAGCCTTGTTTGTTGATGAATTGCTCAAAATCACGCGTTTGAATCCGTGTCTTTGATACTTTATTGCTCATGCTCCAAATACACATTAATACCTACAAAATAACTAGAAAACTATCAAATGATACAATATGTACACAAAAATACAAATATACACAAACTAAACGTATTTACAATTAAAGTGGGGATTTATTGCAAGAATATCAACAAAAGAATAGATAAGTGCCACAAAAATTATATACAAAATGATGATATTT